GGCCATCAGAGGAGTCACACAGGAGAGAAACCCTATGAATGCTGTGAGTGCAGGAAAGCCTTCACTGAGCGCTCAGCCCTTATTTACCATCAGCAGATACACACAGGAGAGAAACCCTATAAGTGCTGCGAGTGCGGGAAAACGTTCGCTCGGAACTCTCAGTTTATTACACATCAGAGGATCCACGCAGGAGAGAAACCTTATGAATGCTGTGAGTGCGGGAAAACCTTCACTCGCAGATCAGGCCTTAATACACATCAGAGGATCCACACAGGAGAGAAACCTTATGAATGCAGTGAATGCGGGAAAACCTTCACTCAGAGATCAGGCATTTTTCGCCATCAGAGGATCCACACAGGAGAGAAACCTTATGAATGCTGTGAGTGCGGGAAAACCTTCAGTCGGAACTCCCATCTTATTGCACATCAGAGGATCCACACAGGGGAGAAACCCTATAAATGCTGTGAGTGTGGGAAAACCTTCACTGAGCGTTCAAACCTTATTCGCCATCAGAGAATCCACAAAGGCTAGCGCCCCTATGAATGCTGAGTGCAGGAAAACCTTTGCTGGGAGATGACACCTTATGCGCCATCTGAGAATCCACACACGAGAGAAACTCTATGAATGCTGTGAGGGCGGGAAACCTTTGCTCGGACCTCAGATCTTATTACACATCAGAGGAGCCACACAGGAGAGAAACCCTGTGAATGCTGTGAGTGCGGGAAATTCTTCCTTCACAGCCTTTCTCTTATTTATCACCAGAGAAGCCCATGGTGTTTTTTATCAACTCCTGTGTCATGGAAGTGTGCGTCCCTCCAACAGGAATGTCCCTCAGTCCCAGGTGGGGGAACCAGGAGTGACCTTGACTAGGTACATGGAGGTTAAATCTACCTGGGCTTTGACTCCACTAGGGTTTTCCATGGAGTTAGCTAGATTGAGTTAGCAATCCTGATATAAAAACACAACTATTTTTTCAAGAAAGAAAATAGCCCATATAGCGTCCAGGGTAACGTAGCAAATCTCCTCACCACTGGACACAACCTCCATCACTTTTCCTCGTCTAACCAAATTTGGAGCATCATGTTTATACTTTTCCTCCCGCTGCAAAGTGATTGTTAGTCATCAGGTTCCCCCATTAGGGACAGATTGGCTTATTCCCAGTTGTTCCCACGTTGCACTAGGTTCTGCTGAATAGCAGTTGGGTTTCGTACCATTTTTCTCATAAGAACATAAGAATGGCCGTACTGGGTCAGACCAAAGGTCCATCTAGCCCAGTATTCTGTCTGTCGACAGTGGCCAATGCCTGGTGCCCCAAAGGGAGTGAACCTAACAGGTAATGATCAAGTGATCTCTCTCCTGCCATCCATCACCTCCTTCTGCCAAACAGAGGCTAGGGACACCATTCCTTACCCATCCTGGCTAATAGCCATTAATGGACTTAACCTCCATGAATTTATCTAGTTCTCTTTTAAACCCTGTTATAGTCCTAGCCTTCACAAGCTCCTCAGGTAAGGATTTCCACAGGTTGACTGTGCGCTGTGTGAAGAAGAACTTCCTTTTATCTGTTTTAAATCTGCTGCCCATTAATTTCATTTGGTGGCCCCTGGTTCTTATATTATGGGAACAAGAAAATAATTTTTCGTTATTCGTTTTCTCCACACCACTAATGACTTAATATACTTCTATCATATCCCCCCTTAGTCTCCTCTTTTCCAAATTGAAAAGTCCTAGTCTCTTTAGTCTCTCCTCATATGGGACCCATTCCAAACCCCTAATCATTTTAGTTGCCCTTCTCTGAACCTTTTCTAATGCCAGTATATCTTTTTTGAGATGAGGAGACCACATCTGTATGCAGTATTCAAAATGTGAATGTAAAATGGATGTATATAAGGGCAATAAGATACTCTCCGTCTTATTCTCTATCCCTTTTTTAATGATTCCTAACATCCTGTTTGCTTTTTTGACTGCCACTGCACACTGCGTGGACACCTTCAGAGAACTATCCACGATGACTCCAAGAATTCTCCTGATTAGTTGTAGCTAAATTAGCCCCCATCATATTGTATGTATAGTTGGGGTTATTTTTTACAATGTGCATTACTTTACATTTAACCACATTAAATTTCATTTGCCATTTTGTTGCCCAATCACGTAGTTTTGTGAGATCTTTTTGAAGTTCTTCACAGTCTGCTTTGATCTTAACTATTTTGAGCAATTTAGTATCGTCTGCACACTTTGCCACCTCACTGTTTACCCCCTTCTCCAGATCATTTATGAATAAGTTGAATAGGATTGGTCCTAGGACTGACCGTTGGGGAACACCACTAGTTACCCCTCTCCATTCTGAGAATTTACCATTTATTCTACCCTTTGTTCCCTGTCTTTTAAGCAGTTCTCAGTCCATGAAAGGATCTTCCCTCTTATCCCATGACAACTTAATTTACATAAGAGCCTTTGGTGAGGGACCTTGTCAAAGGCTTTCTGGAAATCTAAGTACACTATGTCCACTGGATCCCCCTAGTCCACATGTTTGTTGACCCCTTCAAAGAACTAATAGATTAGTACAGGGGTGGCCAACGTGTGGCTCCGGAGCCACATGCGGCTCTTCAGAAGTTAATATGCAGCTCCTTGTATAGACACTGACTCCAGGGCTGGAGTTACAGGCGCCAACTTTCCAGTGTGCCGGGGGGTGCTCACTGATCAACCTCTGACTGCCCCCACTCTACTCCTTCTCTTGAGCCTGCTATGCCCTCGCTCCTCCCCATCCAAGCCTCCTGCATGCCACAAAACAGCTGATCAGGAGGGATGCTGGAGGCGCTGACTGGCGGGGCAGCCAGTGGGCAGGAGGCGCTGGGAGCAGGCGGGAGCTGCTGGCCTTCTACGTGTCTGACAATTTTATTCTTTACTAGTATTTCAATTAATTTGCCTGGTACTGACATTAGACTTACCGGTCTGTAATTGCCGGGATCACCTTTAGAGCCCTTTTAAATATTGGCGTTACATTAGCTATGTCCTCAATGTAACCATATGTGTAAGCTTCTTGCCCTGGTGACAGTGTGCTCAGAGAGAGGAGACATGCTCCCCCAGAGTCCTGACTGGCTTCATATGGAATAGTTCCAGAGCACTGCCTGGTGACTCTGTGACGGGGGAAAAAGTGGTTGAAAAAACCTCTGTGACACCTAAAGAAGTGATGAGTCGGAGGGATTCCCACATTCTGAATTACCCCTGCAGTGTTTCCTCTTTTTGAGCTATGTAGACTGGCCCCCTCCTCCCTCCAACTCCCAGCCACACGAAAAGGGCTGCCCGAGCGCTACCGCAGCTGGAGCCCGGGAGGGGAAGCGCCCAGCCGGGGGCGCAGGGTCTGGAGGCTGCCCCGCAAACCATGAAGCCGGTAGCGCTTGGGCTTCGGGCAGCCCCTATGCCTCCGGACCCTGCGCCGCCGAAGCCCGGGAGGGGACGTGCCCGGTCAGCGGCTGGGGTCTGGAGGCAAGGGGGCTGCCTGAAGCCCATAGCACTCGGGCAGCTCGGCTCTTAAACAGAGCCGGAGAGTCAGGGGAAGAGCAGAGCAGCCGCGGGAGGGGAAGTGCCTGGCCGGCATTTTCCCGGACATGTTCGGCTTTTTGGCAATTCCCCCCGGACGGGGGTTTGATTGCCGAAAAGCCGGACATGTCCGGGAAAAACCGGACGTATGGTAACCCTATATTTGAAGACTGCTATCATATCCTCCCTGAATGTCCTCTTTTGCAAACTAAACATACCCAGTTCCTTCAGCCTTTGCTCAGAAAACTCAGCTCAGCATTGGCAGTGAATTAAGCCCAGGACTGCTGGATGGGAGACAAGAATTCTCCCACTTAACCACAATTGTGCAAAATATAAAAAAGGGACGTGTGCATTATGGGCCCTGCTCACTGCCAGGGCCTTACTCTGCTGCCGTGCACAGGGGTGTGGCTGACACTGCCAGGAGCTCTGTGTTTCTGGTCAGAACGGGATTATCTGGCAGTTTCTTAATGAACGCTGTGGGGATTAATGGATTCTATTTACATGTGCCCTGTGCTTTTAAGGGTTTGGAGCAATGCTGGCACGGTGAAGTGGCACAGAGCTGGAGAGCAGGGTGTGGTCCCAGGTAAGTAGTAGTTGTGAGACCGAGCAGGGAAGGGGCTTGCACAAGGTGTGGTGTTTCCATGCATGTCTAATATTTAATATTAGACATCTGAAGAAGTGAGGTTCTTACCCACGAAAGCTTATGCTCCCAGTACTTCTGTTAGTCTCAAAGGTGCCACAGGACCCTCTGTTGCTTTTTACAGATTCAGACTAACACGGCTACCCCTCTGATACTTTACATTATCATATGTCTCTCTTTATAGCAGTAATGCAGTTGTAACTCTGGGTATTTCACCATTTACTTACTATTATTAATTTTATAAAAAGTCTTTAAGGCTATATCTGTCTCAGTGTGAGCTTCCTGTCATACCCCCCTGGTCCTTAGTAAATTCGGGGAAGCCTGATTCGAAACAAAAACTTTTATCTTCTAATCAAACAAACTGGCAAACCTAAAATCAAAACTATTAATATTTTAATTATTAGCACACCCTAAATCAGGCTACAGTCGTCATATTTAACCCGCTCTGGAATTTCTAGTTCTATGAAACTGGATGTATCTTGTGTGATGTGGGTTTTTCTTCTTGAGCGACATTTGGTCACATAATCAGATATTCATTTTATTTGCCAGACAGTAGCTCAGATTTACTGGGGACTTTGAGAAAAGGACTATTTACTGAACTAGTCATTTCTTATTTTATTTTTGCTTTTTCTCTGCTCCCTCCATGATGACATGAAGAAACTTCAAGTGCAGTTGGGTCAACAGGAGAGACTACTCCAAGCTATTGGACATGCTACCGACTGTTTTTAAATCTCCAGTCTGAAATGGTGAACTAGACCACACCCCAAATTGTGCAACTAACTGAAGTGACTGCACACAATCACACTACTGCTCAGTTGTTTTAGGTCAATATTGTCTCTGATGATCCGGGGAGAGAATTCCACAGTAACTAACAAAGAAGTGGGCAAAAGGTCCATGTATTTGTTTCCCAAGGTAGTTGTGAAAGAGGCTCTTGTGACAGACTAACACCCGTGTTCACACCCTACACCAGGGTCTCAACCCTTTTCTTTCTGAGCCCCCCCTCCCCCCCGCTATAAAAACTCCAAGGCCCAGCAGGCGTAGGGGGGCAGCTTGGGTCTCTGGGCTACAGCAGCTGGGTGGGGGGCAGCTCTGGGCTACAGCTGCTGGGTCGTGGAGGCTCAGGGCTTCTGCCTTGTGGAGTGGGGAGCATTGGGGCTTCAGGCTTCTGTCCCGTGGGAGACATGGGGGCTTCAGGCTTCAACTGCGGGGCCTTGCAGACCACCTGAAACCAGCTCACAGGCCCCCGGGGGTCACGCTGTCCTACACGGTATTGCAGTAATGTTTGTACAAGGCGTGACGCTGGCAGAGCAGCTTACGTCCGAGTGTATTCAGGCCAATTGATGTGTGTATTAGTATAGATCAAAGCGATTGTTAAATGTAGAAGTGTATTGGGTGTTTAAGCATCCTGAAAACTAGTGGAATGTTGTTTGCACAGTTTTCACTTATCTGTATTCTGTTACATTGTGTAAACCCCTGTCACTAAATAACCCATCCAACGCCAATTAAGGTTTTTGGAATGCAAAGGAAGAAAAGATTCATTTCAAAACCAGTGGTGGTAAGAAGCAGGATTCCTGGGGCGTTTGCACTGTTGTTGCACAGGGTGGGAGCAGGGAAATGGCTCTGGCTTAAAGCGGTGTCAGGCTTAGAGAGGCTGGGTTCAGAGTTAGAGTTTAGGGTGGGGGTGAGGATTGGTTAAAGGGTTTAGGGTTGGGGGGGACCAAGTTATAGGGTAAGGTTCAGGTTGGGTTCCAGGTAGGGGTTGGGGTTTATATTTTGGGGGGAGGGTTTGGACAGCAGCTGCATAGATGTTCAGGTGACAATGGGGTGCCAACCAATAGTGATTTATAAGTAGGGTTTTTTTTAGGTCATTTTAGTATCAGTAGCACGCTAGGGAGGGGGTAGGGTCATGTTTACTACAGGGGACTACCGTGTTGGGGAAGAGAATAGCAAGTTGACCTATCATTGTTAAGCTAAGATTTTGGTCATAGTTACTTTAATAAAAGTCATGGACAGGTCATGGGCACTGAATCTCAGTAATCTAGAAAGATCTGTTCCTCCATGTGTACTGTCACAGCAGGATTTTTACATCACAAACTACTAAACATATGGGAAGAGGGGGCAGGTTCCTCCCCTTTCCCTTCACTCTGAACCACCTGTACCGTGCTGGAGGGGAGACAGCCCAGGATGTCTGCAGGTCCCCTTTTGCCCCAGCTCTGTATTGCGATGTCACAGCAGGGGCAAGGCACTAAGGAGGGAGTTGGATCGAGGGGGAAAGGGTACAAGGGTGCACTGTGAGAGATGTAGGGTGTCTTTGCCTACATCACTGATTGGACTTTGGAGGGGGTATGGAGCGTTTTGTGTTGTCTCCCACCATGGAGTGAGAAACCAGAAATGTCGAGCTGCCAGGGGGTCGGGGGGAAGCAGAAGCTGCTCTGAGAAGTGCCCTCTATATGTGCAACAGTGAGAGCATGCCTGAGCTGTGCTGCCCAAGGGAGCAGCCAACCTCACAGTGAGGGGGATGGGTGACACCCCCCCCCCAAGACTGGGGACAGTAGGTTACAGGGGGGCAGCCTTAGCCATTCCCCCCTTGGCTTATGTGTCTCAGTTTCCTCCTCTGAAACCACTTCACCTCCTGCTCCTACCCCCCAGGCACTCTCACCCTCCCCCACGCACCTAGATAAAGACCCCTGACCCCTCTCATTCCCTCCTCTTGGGACATCTGCACTCCCACACAGAGCCTCCTCATCCAAAATCCCCTCATCTCCCCTCCCCCCCGCATCCCTCCTGCACAGGCCCCTGAGTGGACCCTAAACCAACTTGCCCCCACTTCACCCCAGCTAGCCCTCGCCCCAACCCCCCCTCCCAGCACCACCGGGAGTCCCAATCCCTCTGCTCACCCCCACATTGCCCCACAGCCTCAGTCCCTCCGGCCCCCTTCCCACCCAAGCCCTTACCTTGGGGGCCCAGCCACAGCGCCCCCCCCCCATTGCCATGTGCCAGGCTGAGGCCGCTGGGGGTTCCACTCCATCCCTACACACCAACCCCAATTGCCAAAATGGTAACTTAGTTGTTTTCCCCCTTGTGCTGGGCTTAGGGAAGAGAAGTCACGCGTCAGAGTCTACTGCCCTCATGCGATGGGAAGGGAGCCAGCGCGACGAGACCACGAGAATTGTTGAGGCCACGCAAAAGCCGTCCATCTGGGAGCGGAGCAGCTGCTATTGTCAGTGAGAGAGGTATCTGGTTTGGTGAGGGCTCTGCTCACGGCTCACCTGGCTCCAGGTAGGGACGCCCCGTTGGCTGGGTTTGTAAGAAAAGGTTCCTGACGAGCTGTGGTTACAAGGGAGACAACGTTCCCGGTTTCAGGGGCTGCTCATTTCTCTGGCCAGGAGCAGTGTGTCCTCCGCAGCGGAAGGTTGGATCTAGTAGGACGACTTATCTTTCTCCAATGTTTTTCTTTCTCCCTCCCTCCTTTTCTCTCTCTCTCCTGTAGCGTGTTGGCCAAGTCCCTCACTTGCCTCTCCCAGTGTCACTCTTGCTCCATGAGGGAACCGCTTTGTGCACTACAGCAAATGGCCACATAGTGTCCCTGTCCCTTGATGAGGGAAATGGTTGGTGCATTACCTGGATTGGCCACCAGGTTTCATTCTTGCTCCATGTGGGAAATGCTTAGTGACCCCAGGTGGCCACTCGAGGTAATGCACACAGCTTCTCCTTCAGTGCCCCCCACCAGGACCCATTCAACACCCTCCAAACTGCTCCCGTATCCTCAGGCTTGCTAACACTCTGCTCACCCCACCTCAACCTGCCCCCTTTACCTGGACTTTCCCTTGGCCCTCCTGATCCACCCCATCTGCTTCCCCATCTCAGGGCACCCCAACATCCTCCAGGACACTCCATCCCTACACACCAACTCCAGTTGGCTCCAACCTATTTCTCCATTGCTGGGCCCAACTTTCCCAGCACTGCATGCCCTCACGCCATCCACAGCCTGCCAGGTTTCCCTCTCCAATTCCTGTTCCCCCTCGAACCTGCCGGGTTCCCCTTCACCGCCATCCTGGGGACCCCCCCCTCCACCCTGCCCTTACTCCCCGGATTCTGAATTCC